TTCCTTGTTAATGATTATAGGGTAAAGGGCCATGTGGTCCGTGCAAGTTGAACAGCAAGGTGTGTCAAGGGGGTGAAAGAAGCAAAATGGCTGTGCTAATTCAAAATGTCTATGTTATAACCTAAATTTCTTTTTTTTTTTGAGTTGGAATCTCACTCTGTCGCCCAGACTGGAGTGCAGTGGCCACTCCCGGCCACCACAACCTCGACCTGCTGGGCTCCGGCGATCCTTCCACCTCAGCGTTCCAAGTAGCTGGAACTACAGGCGCGTGCTACCATGCCTGGTTAATTTTTTTGTTTTATTGTAGAGATGGTCTCGCCAAGTTGCCCAGGCGGGTCTTGAACCCGCAGGCTCAGGCAATCCACTCACCTCAGCCTCCCAAAGGCGCAGGATTACAGGCTGAGCCACCAAGCCCAGCTATATCCTAAATTTCTAGGGTTCCCTCCTTTCAGAGTGCCTGACTGTATGTTGTTTCATTGTAAAATCCCACCCCAGGCAGGGCTTATCTGCCATTTTTTGTATATGCGACCTATGAAGAAGTTATATACCTACACCACACTTGTGTAGCTAAAACCCCTCCCTAATCATGCTAACATATTATCTTTCCTTTGATGTTACACCCCTTCCCTTATCTAACAAAAGTATTTGGCCAGCCCCCTTTGGGGAGCCGGACAGAGAACTCTTCCTCCTGAGCTGTCTCCCTTGTACAAGTCCCCAATAAAGTCTTGTCAGGGAATCTGCTTCACTTCATGTCCATTTCTACTACATGAGAGCCTAGGAACTTGCAGTCGATAATATTGCCACTATTTTACAGAGGAGGGCATAAGAAGACTAAGTCCACACAAAGAATGAATTGTAAAGCTTTTCCCCTCGCCATTTGCCTGACCTCAAAGGCAAAACTTCTATCTTCCCCTCCTGCTGCCTCCCATGTTTGAAGAACATGTCACAGACTGATAACTTTGAAGCAGACATTTCCCTTTCAAGGATAACTTACTTGAAGTTTACGCAATATAACTCTTTTTTAAAAATGAAAAAAGGCCAGATATGGTGGCCTGTGCTTATAATCCCAGCACTTTGGGAGGCCAAAGTAGGAGGACTGCTTGAGCCCGGAGTTCAAGACCAGCCTAGACAGTATAGTGAGACCTCATCTCCATAAAATCAAAAAATTAGCTGGATGTAGTGGTACGCGCCTGTAGTCCCAGCTGCTCAAGAGACTAAGGCAATTGAGATGAGTATCTGATGCTAACCATGTTTGCCTACTACATCTATACCTTCCCATCAGTCCCAGCCCATGTACTATAATAAAACGAAGGCTTTAAGTAAAAAAAAAAAAAGAGAGAGAGAGAGAAACTGAGGCAGAAGGATTATCTGAACTGCAGTGAGCCATGATCATGCCACTGCATTCCAGTCTAGGTAACAGAGCAAAACCCAAACTCAAATAAATAAATAAATAAAATTTAAAATCTCTCTTCTCCTCTTACATCCCCTTTCCCCCCTCCCTTCTTCATGGCTTAAGGACTTTTTGTGACTTTGGTTAAAACTGATGGAACAGGCCAGGCATGGTGGCTCATGCCTGTAACCACAGTACTTTGGGAGGCCAAGGTAAGGAGGATCACTTGAGGCCAGGAGTTTGAGATCAGCCTGAGTAACATAGCAAGACTGGTCTCTACATTAAAAAATTAAAAATTAGCCTGGTGGCATGTGCCTGTAGTTCCAGTTATTCAGAAGGCTGAGGCAAGAATACCACTTGAGCCCAGGAGTTTGAGGCTGCAGTGAGCTATGATTGCATCACTGCACTCCAGCTTGGGTGACAGCGTGAGACCCTGTCTCTAAAAATAAAAACAAAAACAAATCTGACAAAACAGAGAACACATGTAGAAACATTCAGTTTTTATCCAAACGATCTTACTCACTTCTTCTCTCCTCATTCATCAATACTCTCATTTGTAGACTCATTTACCATGGTTATTCCTTCCCTTAACATTTATATAACAGAAGCCCATTTTATTACAAACTCTCCAAATACATACTTTTCTTTAACTGAAAAGGAATATGATAGGACAAGAAAATGTAGGACATACTGCTCATCATTCCCTGTTGCTCCCTGAATATAGTCAACATTTCAAGCGAAGAATATAAGAAAATCAACACAGAAGAAATATTTTTCTAATATTAAGGTTTTTAATCCAAAATTCGTATACTTTATATTTCCCACTAATTGGATTATGACCAAATGGCCGCCCAAAAGTGTTCAACATTCCTCTTAGTGAGCTAAAACAAGGCTGACTACCCAGTGCAAGACTCCTTTCATTAAATCTTAGGTCAAACCCAGAAAAGATCACATGAAGGCTGACTTTTCTCTGATTAACTAACACCACAAACCATAACAGCCTGGTGCCCCAAAATGTTCTAGAATATTTAATCATTTTTCTTCACTTGAAGTTAATGCTATAACTTTTAGAATAGAAGCATGAAAGATAAAAAGCTATGTTCTGACACACTGGAGTTTTGTGTCAGAAATTTCAGTGCACAACTCTTAGGATTATAAGAAAAATCCGCTTTGAGTGGAAACTAAAGCAAAACCGAGCAAGAATGCAAACAGTTACCTGGCGGTGCAAGTTAGCCAAGACTATACTGTCTATCTTCCCCGCCCCCCCCAAGTGGCTCCTCAGCGAATCAGAGCCTCCTTAAATTTGGAGTGGTTACAGAATCCAAGAAAGAAATGAACTCATTTGATTACAACCATAAGCAGTTAGACTGGTATCTATTAGCATTTGTGCCACAATGTTTATTTTCCCAATTCTTAGTAAGTGGCAGCAAAAGTAAGCCTTGAATCTTTGTCATTTTTAAAAAAAAATGAAGAAGAAGGTGACATTTCCAGGCAAATCAAGATTTGAACCCTTGCTGTCTGACTCTAAAGACTATGTGTGTAGAGCCAGGCTAAGTGGCTCACATCTAATCCCAGCACTTCAGGGGGCGGAGGCAAAAGGATTGCCTGAGTTCAGGGGTTGGAGATCAGCCTGGGCAACTTGATGAGACCTTGTCTCTACAATAAATCAAAAATTAGCCAGGTATGGTGGCCCACACCTGTAGTTCCAGCTACTTGGAAGGTGGAGGTGGAAGGATCGCCTGAGCCCAGCAGGTCGAGACTGTGGTGGCTGTAAGCATGCCACTGCACTCCAACCTGGGTGACAGAGTGAGACTGCAGCTCAAAAAAAAAAAAAAACAACTATGTGTGTAGAATCACTGAATGAAGCCACCTCGGAGGGTAGCTGTAAAGAGTCAACAATTTAATGTATGCCATGTGTATCCCACAAATTGAGAATGTTTGGGCAGGCTTATGACAGGCCCAGGAATAAGCAATACAGCCTCTGTCCTCAAAAAGTTCAACTTGTATTTTGATGCTTTTAGCAAAGACAGTCTCCTCATATGCAATCATCTCATTTATGAACCATCCATAAAATGAAAGACCCCATCCAACATGCCTGGCAGATAACAGGCCCTCAATAAACATTCATTTGCTATTGCCAGCGGTTGAGACTTCATTACCAACCTGGAACCACAGCCACTACAGAAGATATGGGACAACCTTCTGTGCCCCCCACACATGTCCACCTCCCAGATCTCCACAGCTACAGAGACTGCCAGGCTGCTGGAAGTCACATAGCCACCTCTTCCTCAGAGAGCATCTCTGAGCCATCTCAGAGATGTGGAAATCCTTTTGGAGTCTTCAGCTTCAAAGTTCCACACCCCAAACTGTACCCTAGCCCATCTCTGCCCCCACTGTGGACACTGGGTCCTCTCCCACCAAGTGCATGGTACATGCAGGATGAGACAAAAGCTTCAGATAGGGCAGATGAACTCCTGTATCCATCATCAGAATTCGTGACGTATTTCCTCACAAAAGCATCACAAAGCAGAGGGTCTCAACCTTTTACCTCTTGCCTGCACACCAGAGGATTCAGCTCTCAGTAGCGAAAGAAGCTCCCTACAGAAGTGAATCTCAGTTCAGGGGTGGGACCTATCAGAATGTGAGAAAAGGGTTGTGTCGAGTCGTGAGAGAGGGAACTGACACGCCACTCAGGTAATTCTGATAAGTCCCTGCAATTAAAATCACTTTTATGGCAGGTGATTAGATGCTATTACATGACTGGTACCACTCCTAAAGTACATGATAGTTGAAGACATGTAAGTTAGCTGAAGAAGATAACCTCACTTAAAATAATGTTTCTATGTGAGAAAACTCTTTCCACACAGTAATATCCCTGTTTCCAACTTTAGACTCTCCCTAAAAGGAGGAGAAGTGACCAATAGTTGACTGTGCAATCCTAAGAATAATTTACCTGAAATTTATTGAAGGAATTCAGTGGGGTCTAATAACTCCATGAACTTATATGCAAATTTTGCATACTTTTTTTCCCGAAGAACTTATATCAGGTTCTCAAAGTGACCCATGGCACACAAATAAATATAAACTTAAGAACCACGACTATTAACTGCTTCACAGACAAAGAAATGTAGACATAAGCACCAATCCTTAGATTATACTAAGAAGTTAAACTAGTCTAGACTTCTGTCTCTACAATCCATCTTTCTTCTCATCTAACTCTCTGCCATCCACACAAATTTGATGCCAGTACTTGGTTTGAATCTTAAGGGAAAAAAAATATCTTACTGAAAAATGCAGCTTTTCCATGCATGGACATATAAATATTTACAGATTTTTCACATTGTTGAGATTTTTTAGAGTCCAATAATAACCAGTTTTCCTAATGTCACAGAATGCACTGTAATCACTGCGTACTTATCTTCCCACCTCCTTCATTACGCACAGGCCACACACCAAATAATTACAGATGTGAAGGAATGTGAAATGCTCCAGAATTTAAGCTTTCAAGCTGATATTCAAACGCTGTGCTTCAGTGCAATACAATCAATTACTGCACAATAAATTGAAGTATGCAAAAGAATTCCAAGATGTGAAAGAAATAAAAACTGACCTTCATGAGATGCTGATTTATCCATTTTGTAAATGTTTTCTTTTGAACTTTGTCCCGTTCATCTGGAAGGAAAAAAATATATATAAAATAAGGTTAGTAAAATCTATGCAAGGAGACTTGTGAGCATGCATTTAAACAAAAACAAGATATTGAAAAGATACCATTCGGTACATTTGAATTTTCTTGTTAAATTTTGGCTACTTTAGGCAATCTGTAGAAAGGTGTTAAAGGGCCATATGTCAGATTGATGTCTTGCCAGGTCTTTGTTAACATTCCTCCATTAAACAAACGTCCTCTTGCCATCTGTTCCACAACCCACCTCCACCACCACAAAGTTGTCTAACTTCACGCAAGTCCTTACACTGAACTTCCCAAAGCACTTTGCAACCTGTTATATCCATTGCTCTTCACAATCGTAAGAAGGGCAGGTAACGCTATTTCCATTTTACAGAAGACACCAAGACTTAAAGAGAATAAAGTCCACGATTATCCAGCAGATAGTGTAAAGTCATGATACAAGGCAGGACCTAAATTGAGATTCTTTGGCTTGAAGTGGACTCTGGCTTAATTATTCATCAGAATTAAATATTCTGCTTAGTTATTCAGCAGCATTTTTTTGCTGTTTCTCTCCTAGGGTCCCTGTGTAGAAATACCCAACTGGATCCTCAGGGTAGACACTGACAGTGATCCTGCTCTGGTGACTACAGACACGGTGAAGAGGATGAGAGAAGGCTTTTTCTGGTTTAAGGAGAAAAGAGAAGCTGGAATTTTCTAGTTCATCAAGTGATTATTTCAAAGGAGAATCATCATCTTCCAATACCTAGAGCTAACACTCAAAACTCTACTTTTTGTTTCCTCCTTCCTTCCTTCCTTCCTTCCTGTATCTGGAAGTAGTTCTTTCTCTTTCCCTGGTGGTCTTCTTTCCTTTCCCACCATAATTTAGCTGTTCTCCATCCTCTCCCTGAGGGTAAGACATAGCTCACGCACTCTTTCTTCATCTCTCCTCCTCCTTATTCTGTGTCCCTGAGCCCCTTTAAACTACTGTAATGCTAAGATTTATTTGTAAATGCTTGCCCTGTTTATTAAAAGTATTTATACCATCTACAATAATTTGAAATAAACAATGTTTTTTAAAAAAACAGATCAACTGAGAAAAGCATCTGCAATATACGACAAAGGTGACAAATATCAATACAAAAAATAAAACAAATAAGTAAGAAAAAGGTGAACATCTCAGTAGAGTCGTGGGCAAAAGCAGACAGGTAATCTGTTTCTAAAAATGTAATTCTCACAAGTACTCAAGTAATCATAACACAGATAAAGCTTTATAACCTATTGAATTGACAAAATTTTATGAAAAAAATATATTCATGTTGAAAAGGACACAGGGCACAGATACTCTTATATACTGCTAAGAAAGGGTAATTTGATTTAAATCTTCTAGACCTGCACTATTCAGCATGGTAGCCACTTGTCATATGTGCCTATTCAAGTATACACCAAAATCAATTACAGCAAAATAAAAGTAACAATTCAGTTTCTTTGCTACACTACTCACAATTCAAGTACTCAACAGGCACATATAGCTAATGGCTAACATATTAGAAGGCAGATATAGAATATTCCCATCATAATAGAAATTTCTACCAGATAGCACTGCTCTAGAACAAAGCTCTATTAGACAGTGCTGCTCTAGATATACATTAAAAGCCCTAAAAATTGATGCCCCCTTTCCCAGCAAGTCTACATCTAAAATCTATACTGAAGTGTTAGGCATGATATTATAAAACGTGTCTATGAGAACGTAAGTCAGAATGTTTACAACAGGAAAATCAAAGTTTTGAAAAAACATAAATGTTCAATGATAAGGAAATGGCAAAGAAATTGTAGCAAAGCAATCCAACACTTTTCAGATTCAATTATTTGCAAAGCTATCAATGATAGCATATTACTTAGAGATTGCCTACTTTATGCCAGTACGAAGGGGAGAGGGGACCACATAACCTAGTCTGTATTTCATAAGGATTTCTTCTCCAAAGTACCTCCTTGAAACCCCTTCCATTTCCTATCACCAGCAGGGCAAAACAATAAAGGTAGCAAAATACAGACCATCATTTGGTTCTACCTGTAACAGATGCCTTTCAGGGTACCAAATTTCTAATCTACTTTTTGACTTAACATTGAGTGTTAAAACACTGAGGAACTGGTTGCAGCAAGCAGACACAGAAGGTAGAAGCTTGCTAAATATGAATATAAATGCTCAGAATTTATACTAAAATTGTTATATTTGCCTAACTCCAAATGAAAAATCTCCAGGTACTTTGCTTGTAAGTACTATGTCAAGAACAAGGATATTAATACTTGTTAACCAACAATATGATCCACAGCATACTCATTAATTTCTCTGTTGGGCCCTTAGGGGCATCCTCTACATATCATCCATCTTTGTCTACCCCATACTGGATGCCACAGTGCCTTTGTGCACTCAACAAATAGATGCCTGTGATGTAAATTATGTTTAAGAAAGGACAATCCAAAAACAATGTAGAATGATATATATACGCTTATATACGGTAGTATATACAACTATTTCTTAAAGCAATAATGGCCTCTTTCTTAAGTGTCTTTCAGTCTTGTTATTCCTAAAGAGTTCAGAAGGAAGCTAAATTACTAATTTGTACCTAATGCAAGAATGAAGAAAGAGAAACAATCTATTATCCCTCCTCACTGATAGGATGCAGATTCTATACTTCCCTCATTTACTCACTCATTCATTTCAGTACCTATTGGGTTCTTTGATGAGCCCAGTGCTGGAACAACAAGGTTTTCGCCTCTATGGCTCATTACCTAGAGAGAACAGCTGACCTGAAGGCAGTGTGATGAGTACTCCAACTGAGAAAAGGACATGGCACTCATCATGTAGGCAGGGACAAAGGAAAGGGGGTAGTCAAGAGGGGCCTGAAGGACAGGAAGTAGGATAGCAAGACAGAAGTCAGCCACCTGTAGATTTCTCCACCAAGAAGACACCCTAATTTATTACTGAACATTGAAAGCCATGGTTACAACCCAAGACTTGTGATTCCCTCTGGTGTAGCTTCCGCCATACCCAAGATACTGCCACTGTTCAAATGGAAGGTCTAAGCGACAGGGAGCTGCGGAATTTGGGAATCTAGCCCTGCTGGGCAATGTGAACTTTGGACAATTGACTGTGAACAATGGGAAGCTCTGAGCCAAAGTCTAGCACTCGTATCACATTCCTGCAGCAGTTTTCTAAGTATCCAGCAAAAAGAAAACAGACTCAACAAAATAATGACTTCCCAGATAATATCCACAGCATTCCCATCCAAGGGACAATGTAGGACCTTGATGCTAAATTCTCAACAAAAAAAAAAAGTAAAATGTATTATTAATCAAAAATTGTTATGATTTAAGAATAGACAGCTTCCATATCAAGTTACAAAATATAAGATGAAGGCACTCCTGTTAACTATCCTTCAAAATTTTATTAATTTATCTAATCATCATGAAATACTATGAACTCTTACAAATCTACTGCATTCCTTTAAATTTAATGTATTATGTATATTACATAAGCTCTTCTCCTCTTGGGTATATAAGGGTTAACAAAATAGATTTCTTACTTTTTAAGTTAATAAAAATCGGTCCTATACTTTAAGGTACATGAAAAAGTAGAATATAGGTTCTAGAGATGAAATTGGCTAATTTCTTACTCCTGTGGTATATCAGGAAAGTTGACTTTATCAAATCATGTACCTCTAAGTACAGAGGAGAAATTCACTTAAATAATATTACCATGAAAAGGTTTGTTTGATCTCTGAAGTTTTGTTGTGGTTATTGTGTTAGAGGTTCAAAACTGCTGCTAACAATGTGAAATGGTACTAGATATTGGGCAGGTAACATATGGGAATTAGGATCCACAACTAAAGTACACAAGTAAGGTACCAAGACTGAAACTAACCAAATAACACACATACTTCATGAATTCTGAAACTGTTTTCTGACAGTAACAACCTAAACCTTTTCTTTTGAACCATGATAAACCTAGATAAGTTCCATTCAAAAATCAAGGGAAGCTCTTTAACACTATAATGTCCTCATAGTGCTACAAGATGAGGAAAGAGCTAATGTGAATTTTAAGGGTCTCAAACCTTCTTCAAGACAGAGTAAAGGAGTAATTTAAGTCTGAGAAGACTTTGTAAATCATACCACTTTCCGTACTTATTATTTCAAGAGGGAGTATTCCAAATGACACCATCTAATCTTTCAATTACAAGTCTTACAATGAGTCTTTATGTCATTTCAGTCAAGGATGTGTAACACAGATTTATACCTAAAGCACTGTTGCTATGGCAATAAAAAGGGCAAAATATTCCCATGATTTAACCAATTCTATTGATTATACGGACCATCCAGTCATTATTCTGAATAAAGTTTTATAACACTTCTGTATTTAAAAATTATTTCATTTGTAGATTAAGTTTTAAGTGACAACATAACATTTATGTTTGCCTTATAAAATACAACATGGCTGAAAATATGTAATGACACTGAATGCAAAGAACAATAGAATAGAGGAGAAAACATAAATGCAAAAAGAGCACTGATTATTACAATCTATACCGAGTGGTTTTCAGTTAAATCCAATCAAAGCTAAATGCACTTAATATCACACACATAGCAGACATTGGCAATATACAAATACATATCCTATGTACAACAATAGGGGGCAGGTCTCTCCAGGGAGCCTCAGAAGTCTGGAGTTGAGTGCAGATTTCTGAAAGGTGCCCTGCAGTCTGCTGAACTCTCACCACGCAACCAAAGCAGGTAGGTAAGTTTCCTTTCCCAGTTCTGAAAACACGAAAACAATAGCACAGGTGATACTACTAACCCATACAGCACATCTGTCCCACCAGCTTTGCATTCCATTCCCCATCGATTCTCAAGAGCTGCCCCATCATTCTGTGGCAAACCTGCGCAGGAGTGCCCCAAGCTCTCTCCAGACAAACTCTGATGTGTCAGAGTCCTGTTAACTTTCTATGTAGAAAGGGAAACACTGACTAGACACTCCTACTTGCCAGCCGAAAACCAGTCAACACCTCCTTTTAAACAAACATTAGCAAAGCCAGACTCCTCTATGATTTTGTATGGGATACATCCAACTATTACAAAAAAGAAATAAACTTGTCTATCTTGCCTTTTAATTTTAAAGTTGTTTAAGGGACTGTTTAAAGCTGTCCCTTAAAAAAAAAAAAAAGAGCTTTGATTCGCTTTTTTTTTTTTTTCAATGAGGCAATCCAATAGAATGTTAGCGTTCACAGCTGAACTAACTCATCACATTCTCTCTTCTAACACCCCAGGCAGAATTCCCTTGCAATAAAAAACAACTTCCAGCCTGACTTGTTTAATTTATGCCTGATGTGTGTACTAGGAGCATGGTTTGGAAAGCTCACCTTTACAGGCTAGACGTGTATCCTCCAGGGAGAAAACCACCCCCTGGTAATTCTTTATGTATACTTCACAGATAATTGTCACATGGATCTCACAACAATTCTCAGAGCCGGGTGGTACTCACATTAAAGCTGTGAAAACCAAGACTTGAAGAAAGAAACTAGCCTAGAATTCCACAGGCTAAGTGGGATCTGAAGTCTGATTCCAAACCCACTTCTTTTCTATGTCCTCAAACCAAAGAATCCCTAATCTAATAAATAATGCAAGAAGAACAAGGTGTCTCCAATTTATGAGAACTTCATTTCTAAGCATTAATAAAAGAATAAAGAAAAGTCAAGAAATGAGAACCCCTGTTCTAAACAAGCAGCAGACTGTCTTCAGCATTCCTATGTTTGTCTGAAACATTAGACACATACACCTGCCTGAATAGAAACTATACACACAGTAACTCCAAAACAACAAACTGAAAATGATCACTGCTTATGTTCAGCAATAGGATGCTAGCAAATTTGATCATGGCACTGCAATACTGCTTGATTAATAGCTGCCAAGATGCCTTGAAACATATTAGTATGATTTCTAACTCTATTCTAAATATGCTATAAATGAAAAAATTGTATCAGCTGTTGCTGAGAAGTTCAAAGTATCTGCTTAGGAAATAGTCCTTCCCTTCCTATCTCTCCTTTTCCAATTATCTTTGGTCTAGGACCCCTGCCTCCACTACAGAAAAGTCTGAGCCTATTTTACTGAAAACAGGACTAAAACATAGCAAACACTTAAAAAGTGAGTACTTAATATTTACCAGGTATTGTTCTCAGTCACACACACATATAACACACATACATTACATAGTATACTCATGATAACCCTGTGAGATTATCCTTATTTACAGATGAAGAAACTGAGGCACTTAGCGCTTAAACAACTTGACCAAGGTCACAAAGCTACTAAGGGCAGGGGATGTCATTTATAAAAGCATACTCAGTATTATAATATTACACTTGGAAAACCAAGTTCTAACTAAAAAAAAAAGTTAAACAACAAAGAATAAAAAGCAATTGTTTTGTGCTGGGGACACAAAAGATGGAATGTACCTTCCGCAGATAATTGACTCTGAAGAATGACAGAGGGGAACCACGTGTTGCTAAGAAGTCACATGAGAAGGATGAGATGTCTGTGTTCATCAGTAAGGAGCAGGTGGGATTTTTAAAAGCTAGAGAAGCACTTTGCAAAAGGCTCTATTTGAATAGCTAGAGAAACACTTCACAAAAAGAAAAAAAGGAGAAAAACATGAAGTGTTGAAGTTGTGGGGAAAAAAACATGGAGGGAAGAAGGAAGAAAGGAATCTAGTCAGTTTCCCCACCACTACCTACAAATAGCTCTGTAGCACAACACGGTGAAATTATTGCAAGTGAACAGCAGCAGGACTTTTGGAATTACAGAAGAAAGAAAACTGACTGGAAGAAATAGTTGGGATCCACGAAAAGACTAATATCTGAAATGAATGAACAACACATAGCTGGTGAACAGGGAGCAGGTGAGAATGGATCAGAGAGGCTGCACATCACACTGTACCCCTGCAGAGTCCCCTCTAACCCTGCAAGCCCTCACCCAGCCATCACTGGGCAGCCTGCTTCACTCTGGCATCACCTCCCTTGCGCACCTGACTCGATCTTCAACCACAGAAGTCTCAGCCAACATTCCTTGTGACTGCAGGTCGTAGCTGCCAGGTAAATAGAATAGGTGCGGAAAAGAGTTCCCATTCCCATTTTTTTTAGTTGAAAAACCTTACAAATATTCCCACAGAAGCATTGTTGTGGTTTATTCCTATGAGTAGAGACATACAACTCTCTATTCATGTGCCAGTGAATCCAACTTTCCTACATTGGTCTATGACTCACATCTGTGGGACACAAGATTTAGAGGAAGCCACTTTACCCCTGAGCCCTAGCCACAAGCTACTCCCCACCTTCTACCCCTCCAGTTCACTTTTGTTAAAAGGAAGGTCCTATCAGGAAAATTCCACCAAAGTTATAACATTATTCTTCATTTTAGAACTTTGCAAAATATTGTAGCACCCCATTAAAAAAGTATACCAATGTGCTATTTTCCTAGTAATTTCTTAGCTTCATCACTACTGCAAAGTCTCATCCACATCAAGCCTATAGCTGATCTCACAATAGTCTGCCTCTGCTGTAATTGCCTTGGCAACAGCAGACAGCAGACTCTCATGCTGTTGCATGGTACAAAGAAATATTTTAAGGCTTTGACTGAGAGAGGTTTTCTTCCTGCACATTTCAAGAAAAGCATGGAACTAACAGTGCATCTCAAACACACAGCTACAGTCAAGCCCTCAGATTTATACTTCCTGGCAGTATATGAGAAAATTGTATAATATTAGAAATAAGAACATTTTTAAAACAAATACAGCCACTAGAAAAAAATAAAGAAAACCATGTTTTTAAAATAATTGGGTAGAAAAAGTGTTTCAAAACAAGTTATAACTCCCCCCAAAAAAAATAAACAAATAAAGTTAACAAATTTGACAAGTCACTGATATAGCAGCAGACATTGTAAACAAAGTTAAAAATATCTGCTACATGTACAACACTCACCAAGGATACTCAAAACAGATGGATAACTCCTATCATCAGTAAGAAGAAAAGGACAGCTCCCCCCAAAACACAAATGATGTGGACATACAATTTACAAAAGGAATGTGAATGCCCAATTAAAATATAGGGAACTACTAAACCATCCTTCTAATAGGAAATGCAAATGAAGAAAATAATTTCAAATACAAAAATTTTAAAAAAGAAAATTATTTCATACTGGCATACATTTATAAGGATAACGCCTAATGCAGAGAAACAGGTAGTCCCAAACTACTGTAATGTGGGTGTGGAAAATGGCGAAGACATTTTTTAGGGCAATTTGGCAGTATCCATTATACATTAAAATGCCTATACTTTCTGAACCAGTAATTCCATTTGTAGGAAATACTAAAGACATAGTTGCCTACATATGATTAGCATACAAGGATGCTTACTGTAGCAAAATATTTGAAACATTTAAATATCAGTCAATAGGAGACTAGATGAATTACACTTCACGTTTGCGCATCCTATAGAATTTAATTTTAAAAATCTGCACATAGAAACATGAACAATATGTCCAATATATAGTTAAGTTTAAAAATGCAAAATAATAACTATGTATTAAAAATGCACCTCAGCCGGGCTTGGTGGCTCAGCCTGTAATCCCGCATCTCTGGGAGGCTGAGGTGAGTGGATTGCCTGAGCCTGCGGGTTCGAGACCTGCCTAGGCAGGCGAGACCTCATCTCTACAATAAATCAAAAATGAGCCAGGCGAGGTAGCCTGCGCCTGTAGTTCCAGCTACTTGAAAGGCTAAGGCGGAAGGATCGCCGGAGCCCAGCAGGTCGAGGCTGCGGTAGCCGGGAACAGCCACTGCACTCCAGTCTGGGCGACAGAGTGAGACTCCAACTCAAAAAAAAAAAAAAAAAATGCACCTCATGAGAAAGAGGAGTTTCATCAGTAGACGGGTATAAGCTGGAAGGAGAGAGGGTCAGGATGGTGTCTTTCATATTTCATCTACACATTTCTAGATTGCATGTTTGATTCTGGTACAGATGATGTATTTGTATATTAACATTAATAACTGAGGAAAAATGTGTTTCAAGTTCTTTTACTCATTTATATATTGAATACTCTGGTAGATGCTATCGAAGATACAGAAAAAAAAAAGTCAGTCCCAGACCAGAGCTCCCTCATTCAGGTCTGGAGACAGAGCTAAGCACTCCAAGCATGGCTGAACTTGCTCTCAGGCTGAGGGCTGCAAGAGGAAAGGGAAGGGGAAGGAGAGAGGAGGGATGTAGAATGGGGAACAGAGGTAGAGAGCAACGGGTGATACCTTTTTCAGAGGATGTTTGCCCAGGCAGGACACAAGATGATAAGGCTGCAGAAAGTCTCTGAAAGGAGAATCAGTAACTGAGAATATAGCCAGAAATCACCTCGCCTGGAGGATCTCCTTGTTCAGAGTTGAACTACCACAGAACACACTGCTGTATGGTTTTGCCCATATTTGTCACGAATCCAGAAACAGGACAAGAGTAGAATGGGAGAATGTGCTAGGTAAGCTGAGATGTAGAACAATAGATGCCATGAATCTCTCCCCACAAATGCTTTGTGGTGGCTGCCACCACCCACCCTCCACAATCAATGATCAGATACCTGCCTTCCTGCCAGTGCAGTTGCTGGGCTAAGGATCAACAACACTGCGGGCCAGGAACAGGGAAATCAGGTTCTGGTCTGGAAAGGAATTTATTGCTATCTGTTCTCACACTTGGTCCAGAATTCAATATAAAACTCTTAGAATCTCCTTTTTAAAAAAAAATATAGGCAAGCTTTCTTTTGTATGAACTTAACTTCACATACAAAATTAAAAGGGCAAGTTCACTTAAATTAAGCTCATTAAAAAGTTTAAATGTCACACTATAGATACACACTATCAAAAATTCCAGAAGGCATTGAAGCAGGTAACAGATATTGTTACTTA